CACTATGCTATTGAGATTACTTGATACCTCAAACTCTTCCTCAACATTAGGCTGCACGACGTCAATAGGTGCCATTACAGATGTCTGCAAGGGTATATGTTGTGATGTTATTAACGGCTGGTCTATAATTGTGTGGTTTTCAGGAAATTGCTGGGGCCCTGAGTTACAACGCACTGTTTCTTCTGCTTCCATGATCTGTGTAGAAAGAGGCTGTATTTGCACTGCATTAACTTGAACTGACATAGTAGATGGGTAGACATCGATGTAATCTAGTGTAAACTGGGTGCTTCTTGATCCTGTTGCGCGCTTAATTATTCTTACGAACTCATCTATATCGTCACATTGAATGATACAAGCTTTGCCTGCATTTTTCGCTTGTGCGCCTTTCGGTCCACATGAATGAGAGTCCGTAAAATAGTATTTTCCGTCGTACAACATGACTCCTAGTGATTTACCTTCTGCTATTAATACACCAGCCTTATGATTACTAAACAATTCCTCGAGTGCTTGCTTGAGTGTCAGTCCAATGTTTGATTGGTTGTCTCTATCATTTAAGCTTCCGAATAGTGCAGATTCTAGGTCATAGTTCAGGCAAAACGATTTACCAAACATGTCACACTTGTCTTTGATTATATCAAAGTTACGAACCAGCAAGTAACCATTATTTTGAATCGGATATGCGGCAGAATCTGATTCAGATAGTAAGCGAATCAAACTATACATTTTATCGCCCTCTATCATATTCGTATTCAGAATATTTGTCGTCCAAATTGCCGGAGAAATCATATTTGCGCGGATTATATTTGCTAACACCATTGCACAACATTGCACACCTGCAAAACCAGAGGTAAATATCGCAGAGTTAGCTTGATTCCACGAAGCGCGTACGATCCGTGATGACAAATTTATAGACGTGTATACAGGAATCTCCTGTCGCGACTCTTCAGTTTCGGGGCCGTTTGGTTGAGGCTCATTGTTTACTTGTAATACTTCTTCATTTGGCGGAGGAGCTTCACTCAATCTAATGATATCTTCATTGTTTAACTGGACATTGTTGTCCATAGTAACATCTTTATAAAGTGGATTATTAGAAATCAACCATAGCAATGCGTTATTGATCTTTTCTCGAGATATTGTAAATTCTCGAGTGACGTTCAAATTATCGAGATGCTCCGTAACAACAATAATTCCAGCATCACCAGTCGATCTGGGTAGCATGTTTGGAAGCTTTTCAGTTATCTCAAATATATCCTGAGCAAAAAGTACAGCTTGACCGCGAAATGCGTATTGCCCAAACGCACCGCTTAATTTAATGACTTTGACGAAAGGAATTATTCTTGATAGTAATCTTTGCTCTACTTGCGATAAATCTGCAATTTCGTCTGGAATCGGGCCTGGATCAAGATTGTTCCAGAATGCTGTTGATGGAGGTAAGTTCTTTTTTGTACTCACGTGTTTTTTGCAACGATTACACAAAAGTAACGTCGATTTCTGCTTCAGTTCGTCAGGTAAATATGGTGCATTTTCCAATAAAATTGTCCATCGGGAACCTTGATGCTGATAGCATCGCTTTGTACAAATTTCACACACTTTGTCACTAAACACATAAATGTCTTTCTCAAAAGTGTTAGCTCTGTCTCTTTGGGCAGCTCTAGCAGCAGCATTATGCTCACGTAAGTGCTGCAATCGTATACTACGCTCTTCGCCCGTTTCCAAAGCTCTTGATTGAGTGACGTGTTCTTGCAAATATTGAAGTCTCGCAGATCGTTCTTCTTGAGACTCTGACGCTCTTATTTGAGATATGTGCTCGCGTAAATATTGAAGTCTCACGGCCCGTTCTCCTTGAGACTCTGACGCTCTCATTTGTGAGTTGTGCTCACGTAAATATTCAAGACGAGCCGCACGTTCTTCTTCAGTCTGTGATATTCTCATCTGAGATTCGTACTGTCCTGAACTTTCTAAACGTTTATTTCGTTGTTCCGGTGTCTCTTTAGCTCTATATTTTTGCATATACGTTTTGGATTTTTGTTTTTGTAGAGATTTTTCATTTTCACTGAGTTTTTGTTTTTTTTGGTCGCGTTTTTCTTTTTCTTTTTGTAGTCTCCGTTTTCTTTGTGTTGCTGTTTCTTTTGTTTTGTTTTACCATAGTATTCCCACGAGTATAGGACATTAAACGGTCAACTCCCCCAGAGGTCCGAGTAGAGGAGCAAGGCTACTTACAACAGGGTGTCGCCCGGTTCCCTGAGGTGACGCTAGCGACATGAGATTTCTAACCACCCTCATGCCATTCAGCCCTCGGCACGTTTCTCACCTTGGCTTGGGTGGGATCTTTAACAAGCTACTAACCCATTTTCATGACAATATACCATAACCAACCATAACAGCCACAAGAGTACACTGCTTGACCGGTCTCCCCCTGTCGGGGGGTATTGCCATACTCACCACACATGGCAGGCGGATTGGCGAGCGCAGTATAAGATGTTGCATTGTCAGGAAACGCTGCTGCCCATTCCCTGGATGATTATCCCTTAGTCGCTTTTTACGACACCCACGGGTAGAATTGGGGTGATGCTATTCTATGCCGACATCACACGGCATACGTCGTATGCTAATATCCATATGAAGTTCCAATTCAAATATTCCGGCTCCATCGTCAGATCACCTCGATAGTACCATATTATTGTATTTAGATCATAAAAGCTAATCGTGGTCAAAGTTTATTACAAGACCTATCTAACAAGTCCAAACACGGCCATAATACTCATCATCCATCATGAAGTTCCAGTTCTTCAAGATCTTTCAAACAAGCCCAAACACGGCTATGATACGATATTTCGCCATGGGATGCTAGTGCCTGTCTTCCAGCTCCATCATCAGACCTTGAAACCTAATCATGGTCAACCTTCATTACAAGACCTTTCTAACAAGTCCAAACACGGCTATGATACCATCATCCATCATGAAGTTCCAGTTCATATCTTCCGGCTCCATCATCAGATCAGCTCGACAGTACCATATTATTGTATTGTCATCAAAATCACATACGACTGCCAACTTTTATAACGGTACGATTTTTAGAAGATGGTTAAATTAGGTTTCTTAGATTTGTTTACATAGTTACATACTTACTTACATACAAGTCGACCTAATAAAAGCGTGTTAAAAATCAGACTATACACCTCTATAACTTCACACACATTTGACGTAGGTATCTACGGGACAACTGCACATTTTGACAGTACGGTGCGGGGCGATACGCGCACTCTTATATACTCTTAAGGTTCCGGCCAGGCACAACATCATATCATATCAGCCTTTAGTACTGCTGGACTTAGGTCTCCGCAACATAATCCTATGTTCTTCGTCCAGCTACTATCAATGTACCAACCGCCTTCTTCAAGGCGCAAATTCCACAAAGGAGACGTGCGTGCGTGAGACGTAAGATGACATCTGTCAGACAAGTGATTGTCGGCTTTAATCGATATGACCCGCGTCTCACATGTGTAGTGTAGCCGGCGTCTTCTGTTTCATTTATGTAAAATCGTTATCAAGCGACGCGATGTCGCACGTCCCACGTCTTCCTCTCATGTCTTACGTCTCGCCTATGGAGCTAGGTAGGGTCTAAGTCATTGCGACTTAGTACACTTGCCGAAGTGTAGTTCAGACAAGTGATCTAAACTATTAAATACCTACCAAGGCCGTGTCGCGGTTTTAAATGCCAGGTCTTGAGTTTGGGCCATTTGTTATTGGCAACCCTGTGTAAATACCATCAGTCATACCTCAAAGAGATACTTTCTTTGACTTGATTTGAGATAAAAGTGGTTGCTGATTCAAAAATAGTGATTTAACTGAACACAAGCTAAAACTAACTGATTTTTAGCGCCTTTAAAAAAACAAACAGATTTATAACAAAAACTACTGCGTTATTTTCAAAATAAAGTTTTGTATATAGCCGTCATTTTGAATTTAGGTATGGAATTCAGTCACTCTCGCTGCTGAAACGAATATAACGACACCACATAATGTCTAGATCCGCTCAGCCGTTTGGGCTGGAGCCCTGAAAAAGAATTTCTTGACTACATACAAACATACCTACATACATAACCCTCGGAAAACATAACCCTAGGAAAACATAACCCTCGAGTAATAAGAAGTGCTCCATTTTGTCAGCATGTATTTTATAGAATGTTATAATGCTTGGACCAGAAATATTGGCGCAAAATCTGCATAATTCTAACTTTTCGAGCGTAATTGTTCCTTGTTGCATGCTTGGTTTCGACTGGTTAACCCTACACCTTTTTTAATGAAGACTTCCAAACTGTTGGTATTTCACGGGCAATTAACCATGTTATGATGTTATCTCTTACTTAAATCGTGCAAATAATTGGTGAAATTCCTTTGCATAAACGACGCGGAACAAAACTAGTCATCAGGCCCGCTGACTTCCGTACCGATTACTGAGTAGCTAGCTTTTGTAGTCATAATATGCATGTTTATGTAAATTACATTCTTGCTCAAATTTTCTTTTCGAGTGACATCGAGCCGTCAAACGACCCAATGAACCCTGGTGTCAGAGATTTTCAACCGCCTAGTGGTAGGCCTCTGACATGGTTGTGTAACGACCGCCGCCTAAGTAATTATCTAATCATTGACAGCAACCGGAACACCCCTTAGGACCGGTATGCTACCAGTCCCGCTATGCTACCTCTTTCGAATACGTCAAAAATTGAAAATACAGCTAGAAAGAAAAGTGTTTATTGAGTTGGTTATGAGAACATTTGAAGATGATTACTTCCAGATATCCTGGCTGCCCAGCCCATGATTCAGGGTTTGCAGGTATCAAACTAAAAACTCGTTTATTTCGGAAATTAGACTACTTCCTTGGAGAAAGTTGTAGATCATGTTGAGATCTACATTTTAGATGACAGATGGATCGGCCTGCAATGTCCTAATCAGACTGGGAACAAATTCACAAAGTGATAAATATTAACTTTTGTGAGTGACCCACCGGGAATGGGACCCGGGACCTTCTGCGACGCAGGCAGTCGCACCACCACCGCGCCACATCGGCCGTCCTTGCTCATTAATTCATTGAACTTCATCTGATCTAACAAATTATACCTCTACAACTGAATGCCACAAGAGGGAACGTCATCATCATCACTACTTCCTAACCTAAAGCAGTCGAATAGCGGACATAGGCCTCCCCCAGGGTACTTCGTAAGGCACAATCTGCCATTTTCGCTATCCAGTCGCTACCAATAAGAAAAACTTCATCGAAATTAGTTGCACTACACAAACTTTTGTTCCGATATTGGTAGTAGTTTGTTGTGATAGTTTACGCGTAATCGATAATTAGTTTGAATAACGACTGTAGTTTCGTGAAGACTAACCGTTTAGTCCTATCCAGTGTTTTTGCACAGAATTGATGATAGGTAGTGTTTTCTTGTAGAACGGCCATTTATTGGGGTGAGATATTGCAAGAGTGAAGTAAATCCCTGCCTGCGGTTGTGTTTCCGGAACGTTACAACCTGGGCCTTTTTAAGGCAAGAGTGAATAGGCAGGCATTATCTGGTCAAGCATGTTCTATCATCGTCTGCATCGTCACTTTACATCAGGTGAGATTGCGGACAAATGCTTACCTATTTTTTATAAAATTAATAACAATACACAATAATTCAAGTTTCAAACTTTTGATAAGTAATTATAGTGTACGGAGTAAGTAAGTCTCACAAGTTTAGGAGCGTAAAGTTCTAAGAAAATTGTTCTCTTCAATATTTTAATGAATAAATTAGAAACTGTTGACTTGACAAGTTTTGTCTTAAGTTTGGCTTTGAACGTGAAACTTTTGAAGGGAATAATTTAATTATTGACGAATTAACCTTTTCTATTTCGATTCAAAAGCATTAAAAATATTTTTTCTCCGTCTCAACTAGGTACTAGCACGTACTAGTACCAATTTGTACTACATATCAGCAGCACTAAGTTAACCGTCATAAGAAACATTCTAACTACACGGGTTTTTAGGGTTTCGTAATTTCGTTAAGTCTGTCTGCCTGTCTGTATGCCGCGCCCTCATAACTTCGTCAGTTTTGGAGCTTTATCTATCGACTGTAGTCAACCGTAAAGTGGCGGTACCTACAATAGCATTCCCAGAGGGTTGACATTAGGCAGGGGCCCGGTCATAACACATTGCCAAACCCTGCTCCTACATGATTTTCTGCTCTAACAAAACATGTTGCGCTGACCCCAACTGATTTGGGATGAGTAAAGACACATGTTTCAATAAAACCGAACTATGTTGATCTCTTACAGAAGATTCACTCGAACCTATTTAGGAATTTCGCGACTGTCACTTGTATTGTACCTAACATAGCCAGGGTTGTTACTGTCAAAAATTTCAAATTCAAGAACATCAAAAGAGCAAATTCTGATACAAGAACGTCACATGATTCTGAGCCAATTTTATTTCAAGAAATATTATGTTTGGGGCAACTATCTTCTTAGTTACTATCTCCTTGAGTTCCTCTGAGATTCCAGTCATTTCCAGTTAAAGTCAGTAAGCGTCAAAATCACTAGTACTGAGTGAGCCATCTGTAAATTTCCTTTATTTGTGTCCATTTTGTGTCTTAAACATGTGACGTAACGTAACTGACGTGATGTTGTTAGTACCTACACGTGAAGGTAAATGAAGACCTTTCTTTTATCCTTATTCTATTTATATTGTGACCTTTAAGAATAACTTTACTTGATTATCACTTGATACTACCATCGCTAAGAAAGAGCACCACGTCTGACAAAAATTTGAGAGTCATTCAAAAGACGTTGTTGTATCACTATAGAGACAGGGTGTCAGCCTGTCGCCTAAAATTGCAATACACATCAACTCTCAAATCCTGTAGTCGCTTCTTACGATACCCACGGGAAAGCCATGGGGTGATGCTATTCTAAGCCGGCATCCCACGGCATTTTCTATTTAGGAATGGATAACTTTACGTAGTTGAATTTGGTACGAATCTGTGATACCCAATTAACCTTCTAAATGCTATCTATTTCTGAATTTCAAACCTTGAGCTTTAGGTTACACGGCTGCCACGAAAAAACAAGAATATTATAAGATATTAATGTAACAATTTATACAAAATGCTTAAGCGAGACGTAAGTCAAGAGACAGAGACGTGAAGCGTGCGACATCGCAACGCATGAAACCATTATTTTCCACATTAAATTAATGTATGAAACAGAAGAGACGCCGTCTACACACGTAAGACGTTTGCCGCATCGATGAAGACTGACGATCATTTGTCTGACAAATGACATCTTACGTCTTGCCGTCTAGCGCAACTCATCTGTGACGAAAGCTCTTTAGGTAACTATTCGTGTAAATTGAATATGAGAAAATTCATTAGAGACCGCCGGGACTTAAACCCGGGACCGTGGGGTACCATCCCACCGCTCTGCCAACTGAGCTACGGGCGCCTAGCGGACCCTGATGAATCTTTCTACCTCTTGATGCTTATCTCGAAGCGACGATTAAGCGACATCTAGTAGTAGTTTTTGCATCTAAATTCTTTGGTTAGTCCAATTACAAACTATTCGTGGCTGTTACTCAGAACTCTGAAAGCAAATTACATGAAAATGATCCACAATTTCGTTTAAATTGTTGTTCCACCCGCATAAGCGTAACATCTTGACCGATTAAACGTGCTCGAGGCCTCAAGTACTATAAAACGCTGTCGGGTATATTTTTTGTTAAAAGATCAGTCGAGTGCTAAAATGGAGTGTGCTCGAGCTAAAAGGAGTGGTTTATTCTGGTCACTTTATACGGGGGCGATCCAATTCCTTACCAAGATTTAATGGCTCTTAGAGCTTCGTAGAAAAGTACTAGGGTTTTAATTCTTTTACTCCATTTTATTCTTTCCAACAAATTCTGTGCGTTCTAACACATCATTTAGCGCGACCCCAACTAATTTGGGATAAGAGCAGAAAGATGATGATGATGATTGAGGATGACTCCATTCAATTGTCTTTTCTTTCGTATTAGTCACAAACTCTACCAACGACCTACTTCACCGGCCGTTGATGATGATTGAGGATGACTCCATTCAATTGTCTTTTCTTTCGTATTAGTCACAAACTCTACCAACGACCTACTTCACCGGCCGTTGATGATGATTGAGGATGACTCCATTCAATTGTCTTTTCTTTCGTATTAGTCACAAACTCTACCAACGACCTACTTCACCGGCCGTTTAAACGGCCTACTGGATAGATAGTAGGCCTCTACTCTGGCACAAAATAGAGAGTTTACAAAATAGACAGTTTAATCGCGAAAATCCTATACTCCCCATCAAAAAAATCGAGACAGTTTCGTTTTCATAGTCAAACAAAATATGAAATCTATGAAATAAAAAGTTGAATGTAGAAAATCGACATTAGGATTTTGAAACCTCGTAATTCTGACTATTGAACTACATTTGACATTTATTCCAAAATAAACATATGTCTCAGATAACGTGATCCCTACAAAACGTAAACTTCCTAAGCGTCTCGATTTTTCTGATGGGAAGTGTACCTATTAAGCGACAGTAAGCTCAAAATCGTTGCAAGTACTAAGTGAGCCACCTGTGAAGACGCCCCGCACGACGTCTCCCTAATTCGTGCCTCTGGATGTGGTTGTATAATCTCCACCATCAAAACCTGCACTACAAGCAACTTAACCTTCTTTCTTATGGGCAACCTACTGAGTGTGTCCTAAACAAACTGGGAACAGTTTTACGAAGTTATCCCTGAAAAGACAGATATCAATTTTCCAGAGGACGTACATACTCAGGAGGACCGCAAGAGCAGACATTTTATTACACTTTAAAGCCATCAAGTGTTACTTAGAGCAAATTGAATATTCTATCGCCATAAAGGTCACTAAGTGCGAGAATTATTATTCCTACAACCATAGTTTCAAGTTGGTTGCAACTGGTTAGTTACTTGTCAAAGAAAAAAATAAAAGGCCTTACCACAAAAAAGTTAAACTTAAAATTAAACTTCATACAAAAAACGTTCTTTAGACAATCATTCAAAGCGTGTCTAACTTTATTGTGATAAAGCCCTAACTTAATATCGATAGTTTCATGAACAAGTTCTAGCCAGTTTTTATCCCACAGAAACGTATATCCCACATGGGAATACGTGAATAACACGCGAACAGGGGTTAGCAAATATATTGAGGTAGTTTAACGTGTTTCATGCTATAGAGTTTTGAAAATAATTCTCACACCTAGTGAATTTTTGCGAATACATATTAGATCTCTTCTCCAGAGCGTATAAAATATACGTACATACATATATCACCTATATCACAAAGTAAGTATTGGCTAGCGTGCCTATATGCCATGCGGGGTAGGCAGAGCGTAAAAGGCTGTACAAAACTGCCACTTACACCACGTCTAACAATGTTTGAGAGTCACTTAGAAGACTGTGGATCACCATAAAGATAATGTTGTCAGCCTATTGCCTAAAATTGCAATACACATTAAATCTCAACGTCCCTTATTCCGTTTTTACGACACCCACAGTAATGATGGCGTGATGCTATTCTGCCGGCATCACACGACATCATAATCTATATCAATAATGTATTCTTGTGTCAGAATTTCTATAACCGATTTGATTATCATTGCAGGCAGACATTTCGAAACAGATTTTATCCAAATACAGGCACTGTAATGAACACGTAATTCGATATTGCTATGTCATATCCAAATTTCCAGCCCACACTATCTGTTCCACCTTGAATACCGATAGTCGATACTGCATGTCACTGTATCGTATATCGATATAATCTGTGTATTAATGTTGTGGTTTAATCCTTTTAAAATTATCTGATGATGCTCGTTAAAACCAAGCTGCAATAAACTTTTAAAGGGAAGATTTTACCTACAATGTGATGTGCAAAAATATACCTACCTATATACGCCGTGTGAAGCTGGCTTAGAATAGCATCATCCCATTTCCACCCGTAGGTGTCGATAAAACGCGACTTAAGGATTGATCCAGGAATGGGCAGCAGCGTTTC